AGCGGTGGCCCTCAGGTTGTAGATTGCGTTGCCCCATTCTTTGTATTACTATGATTCTACTTTTTAAAAATACATAATCATCTACCTACCCTTTTATTTATTTAGAAGCAGTGTTGGGAAAGTTACTTTTAAAAAGTAATTAGTTATAGTTACTAATTACTTTGTCAAAAAGTAACTCAGTTACTCAGTTACGAGACTATAAAAGTAACTAATTACCAAGAAAAATAACTACTAAGTTACTTTTCATTAAAGAATGCAAGAAAAATGGGTTAATTGAACTTAATTAATTTACTATAAATGACTACAATAGTGAAATATAAATGACTAATGACTGGAACATAATAAAATGTATGTCAAAATGTTTTTATAAAAATGAATAAGTTAAATAAATGAGCACTTAACAGGAGGAACTACTAACAGGAACATTACACTTATCTAGACTATTAAAAGGTCACTGTGTGATTTTTAACAAGACCCCAATCAGCTAAAATTTAAAATTGCAAATAGAAACGCCTGTAAAGGTTCCCGAGCCTTTAAATGGTCTCTCAGTCTAGTGAAATTACAGAAATAAATGTAATTTTGCACAGTATTTAAAATTTTCCAGCTTTACATAATTAGGTATTTTAGTAGCATTTCTGTTGCTGGTAATCTAGTAATGGTTAAATAAATAAAATCCTTTAAAATGACACTAGAACAGGCCCGAATCTGATGGAGGACTTACATGTACTAACTTGGCTCAGACCCAACCACAGAAGAGCTGAAGCTGGGTGGTAAACACACACAGGTAGTTCTGATAACACCTGAGCTCCATGACGTCTGAGACTGATGCATCAGTGCTACAGCGGGACTAAAGTCATGATCAGAAACAGGTTACAGCTGGATGATCTAGGAAGGTAGAAGATCGTGACGTCTGAGCGGTGAACAGGTGAGCGGATCTTCAGGACGTCCCGCTGTCACGCTAAGAAGGGCACGGCTGCAGATCCACACCTGCAGCTGTAGACTATTCATCACGTCTTTCTCGTTCTTCACTGGCCGTGATGCGCTTGGATGAAAACATCTGCCTCTTTAGCTCGTGATCAGCTGACGACAGCTTCAACACACCGCGCTGCTTAACGCACGCATTTTCTTATCAGTAACAGAAACAACGTTTTGATAAAAGAAGACGGTAATTAATTAGTTTGCTCGTTACAGAAAGAAATATTTTTTTTAGTAACGCGGTTATTTTAAACGGCATTATTCCCATCACTTCTCTGTTGTGTCTACAGCAGGCAGTGACTGAGACAGTGAGGGTCTCCGCCCACCCGACCAATCATCATCGTGTTTGTAAGTGCGTTACCAACACCTCTCTCTCCCTGGCTGCAGATGAAGTGTGGCGGTCAGAAAGCCTCACACTGTTGCTCAACGTTCGACAAGCACATAGTAACGCACAACCTTCCGTCCCAGTGGGAAAAGTAATTAGATTATTCCGTTACCCAAAAAAAGAACGCCATTAGTAACGCCGTTATTTTTAACGGCGTTCTTCCCATCACTGTTTAGAAGTTTATATTTTTTGTAAAAAAAAATTTATTATGAAGCACTGTCTGGTATCAATCCTGAGGAGGAGTAGGAGAAGAAGTAGACAAAGACGAAGAAGACGATGACGAGAGAGAAGAAAAAGAAGTCAATGTGAACAGACAAGTTTTCAGCTGCTTTTTAAAGGAGACCACTGAGTCCACTGATCTCAGGCTCAGGGGGAGAGAGTTCCAGAGTCTGGGGGCCACAGCAGATATGCATCTCTCACCTTTGGTCTTTAGCCAGGTGTGCTGCATAACCAGTAGGCTTTGATCACTGGACCTCAGGGACCTGCTGGGGGTGTAGGGATTAAGTCTAAGCAGGTGTGCAGCAGGTGCAGCTTAAGGTAGTTTTCCAGGAGCACTACTCAGAGTAATTCGGACTGACACAGCTCGGCCCGACCATTGTTCCCAAGGGCATGGTTTGGTATTTTATCTCTAATTTCTCCCCTATTTTTAAGCTTGGTTTATGCTTGACGTATTTAGTTTCCGCTTGGCGATGCAGCTCGCGGATGGAACGCGCTTCACAACTTGCAGCATTTATGGTTCATGCGGCTTGTCTCTGCGGTGATCCAATATTCTCCCAAACTGTAGGGGGCAGCATGGAGCTGTACGGCATGCATCCAACACTACACCATAGTAGAAGTAAAAATTACTGTTGTTTACAACATGGCATTCCAGCATTTTTTAACAGCATCCTCATCTGTTTTGTCATGCGTCCCCCCCCCCCCCCCACCCCCCCCCCACCCCCACCCACCCCAAAAGGGACACACTGGTTTCTCTGTATACAATAAAAAGACAAAGAAAGTTAGTGGACGGCCAGCATGAAAATCTATTGTATGTTGTTCTTCAATACTTAATTTCAAACGAATTGTGTGAGACTCAAGGAGTTCAAAGGATGACAAAGAAACAGATGGGAACAAAGAGGAACGGGGTGATGAGGCGAGTTATGCTCTTTGAGTTCAGAGAGACAGGATGGGCTCAGAAATATATAAAAAATGGAAACACAAAACTAGAAAAAAGCTATGCTGGTAGAATTCAGTAAATCACTCACACACTTCCAACAGATTATAATAACAACAACAACAACAATAACAACAATGATGATAATAATAATAACAATAATAATAATATTAATATTAATAATAATGAAAAAAGGATGTAACTCATTTGCCGTTATATCAGAATGTTCAGACCTGCATGGTCAAACTAATTAGCCTGGCCTGCCAGACTCGTCCTCTGTTTAATTCTGCACAGAGAAAGAGTCTGGGAACTCACAGGCAGAGAGGCACTTGAGGGGCGGGACTAGGCAGCTCAAAAATGACCAATCAGAAAAAAGAAGGAAATCCCGCCTGTACTGCACGACGCTGTAGATTTCTAGTTGTAGTAAAAAAAAATAGCATCTGGCAATGGCACAAACATCTTTTTTTTAATATAAGAAATGCTTTTAGCGCTTCTACTTGTTGTGGTTTTAAAGACATTTGAGTTATTTAGAACAGAGGAAAGAGTCGCAGTGAACTCCGCTGCTGTATTTGTTGTTTATGATAAACTGAGTGTCGCTGTGTGTGACGTCCGCGACGCTGTAGTTTTTTTTAGCTGTAGTAAAAATGGCGTCTGGCGACAGCGCAAACATTTTGTTTAGAAAAAATGCTTTTAGCGCTTCTACTTGTGGTTTTAAAGACATGTTCAAATCATTTAGAACATAGGAAAGAGCCGCAGTGAGCTCCACTTCAGTCACCATGTTTATGACAAACTTGGCGTTGTGGTGTGTGACGTACGCTACTCAGCGCTGATTGGCTCGGTTAGAATTCTCACGGGGTGGGGTTATTTGAATAGGAGAGTTCCCAGACTCTTTCTCTGTGCAGAATTAAACAGAGGAGGAGTCTGGCAGGCCAGGCTACAAACTAACCACGTTGTTGCTATTTATGGATAAATATAAACACACACACACACACACACACACACACACACACACACACGGCGACTGTGGTCATTGGGGCAGTAATCCCCAAACTGGAGGGGTGGCTAAAGCAGATCCCAGGAAAAACATCAGACATAGTCCAGGAAAATGCAGTTCTAGGAGCCCTCCAGCTCTCAGGCCTCTGGTAGAGGACCTGAGCTTGGAAGGAGGGTGAGATGGAAGTTTTTTTGTTTTTTTTATATCACACATATTTCCATGAATGATAAAATTAAGGAACTAAATTGAAAAGTCTGAGTTCAGCACTAGCAGCTTCAGTGTGAGTGCATTTCCCCAAAAGCTGTCAGTAACATACAAGCACAACTCCTGTGGGAGCTGCCATCAGAGTAAAGATCACAAAACACTAACACATATTCCACTCACAAACTCGGTGTGACAGGAAACAAAGTGCATGTGAAATCCATGTTGGTTCCATTTGGTGTCCACGCTGACCAAAAGGAGAAGTCACAGCACAGAAAAGAACGTTTTCTATAAACTTCACAGTAAGAGCACAATTTAAAACGAGCAGCTCTTCCTACAGGATTTTCTTGTTATTTGTATGAAATCTTTGCAATTTTATTGTAAAATGTTACTTAAATTTAAAAAGACGACATAGATTTAAAAAAAATACATTTTAATAAAGTCATTATTTGGATTAGGGGTAGATCGATATATCGGTCAGCCAATATTTACTGTTTTCATACATAAGCATTGGCTGATGTTTGTCCTGAGTAAAGTGGATTTAAAGTCAGGCACATCCTCGTGCAACCTGGTGCTGCAGCAGAATTTCATTTAAATATATTTTTATGTTCACTAATAAAATCTGCCCAATAAATACTCTAAATCAACTTTATTTAGGTGTCTGACTTTAACACTGAGTGGTGCACAACGTTAGAGTTCAAAAACTGATTCAGCTTCAGAAACTTTGTGTATCAATCATAGTTATTTGTGACATTTTAGCATGAAAATAAAGTTAAAGTCCAATCAGTTGTCTCACACACACACACACACACACACACACACACACACACACACACACACACACACTGATGTATGTGCGAAATTTGAAAACCATTTGGTGGTTTAACCCCCCAATCCAACCCCTTAATGCTGAGTGTCAAGCAGTGAGGCAATGGGTCTCATTTAATTTTTTCTAAGTCTTTGGTTTGACCCGACCAGGAACTGATCTCCCAGTCTCAGGGCAGACACTCTACCACTAGGACACTGAGCTGGCATGAAAATAAAATAGCAAGTACATATCGACCACCGGCTGACCATGACTACATATTGGCGACAGAAAAACCAATATCGGTCAACCTCTCATTTGGATCAAATGACAGAAGAACTAACAGGAGGAGTGTCATAATAAACTGATAATAAACCCATATCAAAGTGAACTCACTTAGAATGTTTTATTTTGTGAAGTGCCTTGAGACGACTCTGGTCATAATTTAGTGTTAAACAAACTGAACAGAACTGAAAACTAAAATCACCTCTTTTAGCATTTGCTTGTCTCACTCGCCAAACTGTCTTGTGGATCTCGAAGTTGTAATTTGGTGGCAGAGCTTTGATCGCTTCCTGCAGTTCCAGATCTTGGAGGATTTCATCTGGAATTTGATTGGCTACTCGTCGTGGGCCTCGAACTGAAAGAGAAGTTGATTGTTGTGCTGTTAGCAATCTATGAAAGACATGCAGATGGATGCCAAAAACCCACTTCAGTTAAACAGAATTTAAGAAATATTTGTTTTAAACTAGTAGAAACTTAATCGTTGAGTTTATTCCTTTTTTCTACGTATTGTCAGGGTCAAATGAGTTGATGATGAGATCAGAGTACATTCATCAGGTTTCACAGTACTGCTGCATTTGAAATACCAATCATAATTCTTAACAAACACACACACATATATAATAGTATGTATAAATACTTCCGCTATATTCTAATTACTTTATTACTTCAAAGACTTTCAAAGAATCCACATATTCAGTGGAGTTTGTTATATGAAGCCCAGTTAAACTAAAGATTTGAGTTCTTTGACATTGATTAAAATTCACTTTGGGCGTTTAGTTGTCCTTTTCTTAAACAAAAGAATTGGTGATACGATAGAACTCCATAAAAGGGATTCAAAAGGAATATTTAGAGTAGTGCATTTAATATAGATGGACACACCGTTGTTCAGTATAACAATAAATAAAGCGCATGTGACTTAGGAAAGGTTCCCAAAGCTTGTTAGAAGAAATGTCGATAACAGCCAGGATGCTGCGCTAACAACAAGCTAAAGGCTAGAAATCAGCGACGCTAACGTCGAGTGTTAATAAAAATGCCCAAAGTTAATTAATAAGCAACTAGAATGCTTACCCGTAGGCTTTCTGACAGCAACCATCTTCACTCCAGTCGGGGAAGAAGCCATTTTTCCTGCTTCTAAACATGAAACATGTGAGAAACAGAAAGGCAAATACAATCGAATGAAGAGAACAGGCTCTGAAAGTCAAGCGCAGATGTAATCGATTGCACGTCTGAAAAGGACACGGTTATCCATGCAGTTTTCAAAGAAATAAAACAAAAATGTGAAATAATTACATATTAAATTCTAAAATTTAAAATTTAATTTCTATAGTTTCAGCCATGTAAATAAAAATGAATATGCTTTAGTGATTTGCATGCATTGCATTATAAATAACATAAAAATATGGGATATAGTGACAAGTTGGCATTTCTGGGTAATATAGGCTTATTTTCATAAGAAACTAATATCCCGTTTTATTTTTTATTTTAGTAAGATGAACGTTGTGGGTTTAAAAGCAGTTTTTGTCCATACCTGATATTAAAAAAAAGAAGAAAAGACACACAACTTTTGTTATATGCTACTAAAAGGGAAAAGAAAAGGAACATTCCATTTCTGGGGTTAAATTTGTGCTATGCAAAGTTAAAGGTCTGTATGTGTATGTGCAAAAAATATTTCCAACAATGTGGTCAGTTTGTCATATTAAAGTCATATTTTAAATATGCATAGTAAACAAATAAGATTATATATATATATATATATATATATATATATATGTGTGTGTGTGTGTGTGTGTGTGTGTGTGTGTGTGTGTGTGTGTGTGTGTGTGTGTGTGTGTGTGTGTGTCCAGCAGACAGGCAAACTGAGCAGCTTGCTGTCCGGTGGAGGGGCTGTCTCTCACTTTCTTCCTCCCTGAACGCACAGCAATCTGATCCATAGGATGGAACACAAGCAGAGCTCTTAGACAAGCTCTCTGAATTAAAGGAGTGGAGGGGAGCTGAAAAGCTGGATTTGAAAGAAACATACTGCATTAGGGTTTTAGGATGATTTCACGAGTCTGCGTTTCTAATCCGAAATCAGCGAAGGAATGTGAATCAAAATAACGTATGTTGATTAGAAATTTAAACAAACATGATGAGCTTTGCGTCTTTGGATGACAGGTAGAATACGAGCGCGTGACCACCTGATCTCAAACATCTGATTTTTTTTTTATATTTGGCAATTCACCTGCCGCCAGAACTGATCTGAAGTCTGTGTGGTCATCCAGGTCTGAAAGGAGTTGACTGCTGAAGAGCACAGTCGGACCGCTGCGCGCGCACACACTGGAGTTATTATTTTGGACTGGGAGGATGCTCCACCACACTGAGACCGATCTTTCTCATTTCTAAGGCTCGACAAAAGGCGTGAGAGACTTTTGTGAGAAAAATATTATCATCATTAATCATATCTGACCGTCAAATTGTCGACAATCTGCAGCAAAGGGCACGGGAATCCAGAGGAGTGACAGCTGACATCCTCATGACACACGCTACAAAAGAAGGAGCTCCTGGTCAACTTGAAAAGTGAAGCGCAAGTTTTAAGGCTGGAATATCCGATTAGATGATTCGCGCTGGACACAGGACGAAATACACTTAGACCTACAAGATGTTCAAAAGGGGTGAGTCTCAAGTTTCTGATCGATGCTTAAATGTGACGCGAAGAGGATTTCATGGCATTAATTCCGCGCTGCAGGGACGCGTCCACAGCCTCTCAACTGCAGACAGATGTTTGAATATTACACTCATCATGCACCATGCTGCCCTGCAGATGCGTAAAATTACAGACGATGCGCCATTGAGGTGCGTCTTTAATTTGCACAACAGGCTCCGAAGGTCTACGAAGTAACCATGCATCTGTCTAAGGATGCATGGGGACGGCTGTGTGATGAATGCCGCACTGCAGTTTATGAGTTATGCACGGGTCACACACGCTTTCACTCCACTGGAGCTTTAATATTTGCTTTACGTCTAAACGTGATGGAGATGGCTGCAGCGGGAGAGGTTTTCTCCACTCAGGACCCTGAAGGGAAAAAAGAAAAAAGAGAACTCCCTGAACTTTTAATATCAATATCCCCAGATGGATTCAAATGAGACCACACTCTTACTTGATGGTTTTTGTCCCGAGAACTGCTCCTTTCTCTCTGGGCTTTAATTGGCCATATGAGCTGCATAACTATCTCCACAGTAGGGAGAGTAAAACCTCTAATGAGAATGAATTACAGTGCTGCATCACCCCCCCCCCCACCCCCACCCCCCACCCCCCGTGCTATAAGAGCTTGAAATAAAAGTGAAGTTAAAGTGTTTCTCATTTTGCTGCGTGCACCCTTGATAACCCTCGGGGACGTGGCGATCCCCCAGACTCCACTTCAGCACATTTAGTTTTATGCACTCATCATTTTGTCATGATACAAGCCTTTAACCTGCTCCTAAGTTAGTTAATGTTATCTTCAGTGGCGGACCTAGATAAAACATTTCAGGGTGGCAGAAGAGGGGCCAAAATGTGTTGAGGGTGGTATGATATGGTTAAAGTTAAAGACTAAAGTCCCATTAGTTGTCACACACTCACAGGTGTGTGGTGAAATTAGTTCTCCACATTTGACCCATTCCCTAGGGGAACGGTGAGCTGCACGCATGGCCACGCTAGGAACGTATTTGGTGGTTCAACCCCCCAACTGAACACCTTGATGGGAAATGTGGAGGCATTGGGTCCAATTTTAAAATCTTTGGTATGACCCGGCCATGAATTTGAACCCATGATGTCTCAGTCTCAAGTTGGATGCTCACACCACTCGGCCACTGAGCTGGAATAAATGATAAATATGGAATAAATGACTATACTCTTTTGGCAAAATATATAAAAGTACAAAAAATACAAGCATTTGGTCTACCTGTGATGTTTGATGGACTGAATTAAATGTTTCGATGTGTGTGTGTGTGTGTGTGTGTGTGTGTGTGTGTGTGTGTGTGTGTGTGTGTGTGTGTGTGTGTGTGTGTGTGTGTGTGTGTGTGTGTGTGTGTGTGTGTGTGTGTGTGTGTGTGTGTGTGTGTGTGTGTGTGCTCTGTCTTCTCAATCCCCAGTGAGTCATGGAGGATGGCTGCTTCTATTGCGCCAGGATCCTCTGGAGGTTTCTTCCTGTTAAAAGGGAGTTTTCCTCTCTACTGTCGCTGCATGCTTGCTTAGTATGAGGATTGCTGTAAAGACACTGACACTAGTCAGTGACTCGATGCAACCTGCTGGGTTCCTTATTTATGAAACTTTTTACTGATTGGTTTAATGAACTGACCTGTATTGGAATGTTAGCTATTTGAAGTGCCTTGAGACAACTCTTGTCGTGATTTGGCGCTATATAAAAAAACTTGATTTGAATTTAAATGAAAACGAGGTACTGAACTTCGGCTTTATTGTTCACTCAAAAATGCTTTTGCTGCTACTTCATGGGTATTTACAAGCCATACATGTATTTGTTTTGGGTCATCGATTTTTCAGCTCAAGTCATAATTGGTGTAATCGGACATCAGGAATGTGAACATTGCAGTTGCCACCCTACTCCACCCCACTAGATCTACCCCTGGTTATCTTTATTAGGCAAAGCTGCAAAAGACAGTAAAACCTCCATAAATCCACACACACACACACACACACACACACACACACACACACACACACACACACACACACACACACACACACACACACACACACACACACACACACACAATCGTAAATATCCAAGGGGGTCAATAAAAAACACCCACAACTTGTGTTTATGTTTAGTTGGTTTGGAGAAAAAGCCCATCTGTTTAGCGTGTTTGTTTTTGCTCCGTGCCTCCAGGGGCAGGAAAAAACAAGTTTTCTCTAGCTGCCATCAGATCGATTATTGCTCTTCCAACATTTGAGATAAAACACACGGTAGTGATGACTGCTTAAAGCAGTATCACCTCGCAGGGAAGGTTTGATCTCTTCCAAACTGCATCCTGACAGTTACACACAAAGACCCACTGATCTTGTTCTAATACTGTTACACATCTGGATATCTTTGTACACAAGGGGCGGGGAGTTGGGGTTACAAGTCACGATGTGCATTTCTTTTTAGAACTGAACAGACGTGTAAATCTGTCAGTTTTGTGTTGGTTCAACGTCGCTAAATCCCACCCATTGAGACGATTTCTCACAGCGCTCATTCATTTTCCATGTGGGGATGAACAGAGAACAGGCAGGTGCCATGGTTGCCAAGGTTTCCTGTTTGTTTGTTTTTTAATTTTGTATGTGAATCTACAGTTAGACCACCACACAGAGCTGGACACTTAATACAAGATAAATTCATCCAAAGTGCAGATTTCACCGGTTGGCCAACGCTGCAGCCAGCCAACGGGCTACAATAGAGATGCAGGAATGTGTCAGCTTTGGCAGGAACGGTGCAGAAGTTCTCTTGTGAATTGGAATGTTTTTTTTTTAAATTGCACCAAAAATAACACGTTTTTATAAGGATGCTGGCTGATGCGTCAGGCAACACATTCACTGTGACATCCGCCATTCACAAACACAGAAAAGTGCTAAGTTCCTGAGCATCCGGGCTAAAGCGCCGTTCTGCTTGGTGATCATTTTAGTCAAGAGGTCATAAAAGATTTATTGGTTAGCACATTTAGCTCTGATTGATTTCAGTGTGATTCATTTGCGGACATCATCTGAGTGGTTCCACATTTGGGTATAAATGTTCATTTATGGATCCAAGCAGGCACGCATGTCAACTCCATCCGGCTTCTGTGACTGTCTCTTTCTTGATTTCACGATTTCTGTTTTCTCTGAAGCAGTCAGCTACATGTAGGCACAAGGGATGATTTGTCAGAGCAGCACTCGGACAGAAAGGACAAGATGTCCGCTGAATTTACTATGCTGTGGCATGCTGTAATTGCTGCTGCGTGTTATTTGGGATTATTGGACTAGGCTCGGCCAAGGCTTTTTTTTTCCTAACAACCACAGGACGGCAGGTAGCTGACTCACGTTTGTGGGGAAAGCAACACGTGAATCAATGTGGATCACCTCTCCTCCTGTATGCATTGCAGTGATATTCCCAGAGTTTTCCTTTGTTTTGACCCAAGTATTGCTGACCTGGACGTCATGGATCTCACTCCCTGTGGGGAGGATTCTAGTTGTTTCAGAGCAGCACGGAAATCAATTAGAAAAGTCTTGGATCTCAATCTTAGCCACCTCTGCTTTTTATTCACTTACATCGTTAATGCATTGCGATGCCCTGGCACACAGAAACCGCTCATATTCCACTTTTTTTATTGTTGTTAAAGTGGATCTTTAGTGGAAAACACAAATGGTATAACTGTGTTAGTAGGCAGACCTGAATGACAGCTTACAGCCTAAAAAAATCACTCAAATTCACCTGAAATAGCACCGTACTAATAATTAGCATTTAACACACTATAGAAAAATGGAAACAGGCGTTTTTAGCCTAATTCCACAACATTTTACCTCAGTTCTCATGCCTAGACAGCACATGCTCATTATAAAATAGGTCACTCACACATAAAAACATAGATTCGTGCACGCATACGGACATGTGGTAATGTTTGCTGTTTGTGAGTGTCAGCCTTCCAAGATAAGATTAATTTGGAAACGCATTTGGTCTGAATAATTCACAGTGACAAGCATTTTTAATGGTATTTAGCTCAAAGAGAACAAAGAAAGCTGTAATTACACAACAGATTATGTTCAGCTCTGTTTGTGCTCAGATGCAAACACATCAGCCAGCAAATATATGAATTGCTATTAGTAGAATTTTAGAAAATTCGCATCATAAACCTATAATCTACAATCGAACAATGAAGATGTGTTCCACTACATCAATGCAAGGATAATTGCATGCAGGTTGTATTTTGAAAAGCAGCCGTGAGTACATGCATTAACGATGAAGCAGCGCATCCTTCATGTTGTTGTGTGCTCACATACAGGGTTGAGGGATTTGCCATTAATGATTTCAGCACAACAAATGCATCACAATGGGAACACCTGCGGCCCAGCTCTGCTCACTTGTGCAAGCTGGATCTCATGGACAAATGTCAGGAAAATCACAGCAGCTCCGCAGCAACAAGCTAAAGTGCTGCTCTCTACAAGATAACTCACCCTCTGATGAAAACAACCTCTGTCGTGCCAAGAGAAGAATCCTTTTCCAGCCACAAAAAGGCTCACAAGTGATATACTGATAGTTACAAATCAAAATATAGAAGTTAGTTAATGCGCTGGCATTCCTGCTTCAGGAAGTAGAAGATAGAAGGAGAAGTAGGGTTGCAAAAGGCACAGTTTGGAGTCTTAGTAAGGAAGTAAATTTTATTTACATAGCACTTATCACAGACATAGAATCACAAAGTGTTTCACATAGATCTAAACAAAATAAAACAGTCATAAAATCATAATGATCTCAAAACAGAAATAGATTAACATCAGAAAAAAATAAAGTCATAAAAAAGTCATTGAATTTCCCTCTGGGATGAATAAAGTATTTTTGAATTGAATTTGAATTGAATTATAAAAATTTCAGAAATAGATGAAAGATTATTACGAATTTGAGTTAAAATTAAGAAAATAAAAGATTTAGCTGAAAGCAGCTTT